GGCCCCGCGGCGGGGATCTCTTCCCCCGGTAGCGGGGGGCTGCCGGGGCAGCCACCCCCCGTACCGAAACACCTGGGCCGTCAGCCTCCGCGGGAGCTTGGCGTTCCATCGCGGCCTCGCCGACCTCTTCCCGTGACAGCCCCGGTGCTCTGGGCAGCTATCGGGATGTGATTTGGGATTTACTTCGCCGCCGCTTCGGGTAACCGGCCTTCATGTGATCGTGACGGGTTTAAACGGGAAGGACGTGTGCGGGTTTCATGTGTCATCCGACTGAGTGCCAGAAAAGCCTGCAAATGGCTTTCAAAGGCGTCTTTGAGCTGTCAGGAAGGATTCGCAGTCCCAAATTATTATTTCATTTTCCTTTTTGTTTTATAGCCTGCTACACATAGAGGGAGTGGTGTCGGGGGGGGTGGGGAATAACCAGTCTTACCTTCTTGTTGTTGAATGCCTTTAAATCAGACTCTCGCAGCCATTCCCTCAGCTGGGGCAAGGGGCAGGCAATAACCTGGCATTGGGTTGTTGCTGCTGTTACTGCCACCTAAAAAGGAAGGAGGAGCTTGCGTTACTTTTCAATTTCTATTTTGGAACCCAAGTGTGTATTTGTTGAGTTTATTTTTCATCTTGAGTGTATCAGGAAGGCCTGACAGCAACACAGTCTTTTTTAGATTGCCATGATACGTCAATTCAGGACACGGAGCCCTGTGACAAGGACTGTGGGAGGGTGCTTGAAATGCAGATGTGTTAGGTGGTGTGGCCTTGCAGTCTGGAGGTAGCCCTTATAGATAACTCACTTCGGGGGACGCAGAGGTACTGGCTGCACGATGTTATGGAGAAGCTCCCAGTTTAAGGGAAAAAGCAAAAAGAATTTGATGAGTTTTGAATGAATAAAGTAGGTGGGGATAAAAGAAGGCCAGGTGCCATTAATTTTTTAATCTTGATCAGCGTAATGAGAATGACATTCTGGTTTGTTACTATTACCCGGATTGAAATCACCTTTTCACTTCTCATAAACTTTGACGTCACCTGACACTTTTGACCAAGTAGGTTAGTGTTCTCCAGCAGGTGTGCTGAGCTCTGCCTTAACGAGCAGGGTTAGCGAGGTCAGTCTGAATATTCACGCTGGTAAAATTAAGCGTGCTGTGTTTATGAACCCGGGGCCTTTGAGAAGCCCTTGTGCCTCTCGGTTACCTGGGGGTGATCCGCTCTCCTGATAGCTGGTGGGGGTCTTGTGTGTGTAGTGAGACAAGTAATGTTGAGGACCCAAACGAGCGTGGTTGCCAGTTTAACTCCCCAGCTGCTATCCCATTTTGTGCCTGTATTTGTGTGTGCCTGCATGTCCATGGCCGTGGGGGTGGCCTTAAAACGCCTGGCTTACCTATCGTTTTGGTAAGACAGCTTCCTGACTTTGCTGTCGTCATGAACAGATTGTTTCTTGATTGTACAGCTGATAAAATTGATTGCATTCTTCACCTCTCTTAATCTTCTCTTAGTGAAAAATTACATTTTTAAAAAATACTTATTTTTATAAGGTTTTTTGCGTAGTGTTGCAATAATCTCACTGAAGTTGCAAATCCAGAGGGTGTGCTATTAACTGGATAAAGCATAAAGGTACAGTTATCGTTCTCTAAGTTTTGTATTGGGCGCTTTTCAGATGCAAGCTGAAATGATTTTGCTACGTGTGTCAGAGCGTAAGACCTGACCTGCTAGGCTGTTTTCTAGTATTTTGTATCCTGCAGATATGGTTCGACATTTCTTTTAGCTAAAAAAAAATAGAATGAAAATCAAAATCAGGGATTTATTTGCTGAGAAAGGATTACCTTTTTGAAAGCTTTCTCAGACCTCTTGGCTGGCGTGGATTTACGAAGGGCCAGGTGTGCGTCACCACCATGATAGCTCCCACGGGCGAGGGGGAGAGCAGCAAGTGTTGGTTATCTCGGCTGTTGCAAGGCTTCGCCGCCGTTCCCCGCAGGGCCCTTGCGGACAAGCTGATGGCGTGCGGGCCTGGGTAAGCGGGCAGCAGAGCGGATTGAAAACCCACGGAATGGTCGGGCCCAAAGGGTTGCCGCTGCCAGCATGAAGCCCGGCTGGAGGGTAGCTGAGCCCCGGGACAGGTTGCCCAGGGTGAGGTTGAGGAGTCTCCGTCCTTGGAGGTAACCAGAACCCGGCTGGACGCGGTCCGGGGCGACCTGCTGCTGCTGGCCTGGCCTCTGCAGGGGGCCTGCCAACCTCGGCTGTTCCATCGTTCAAACTCAGCGTGGTAGGGTAACAGTAGCTTAAGAAAGCAAAAGTATTTTGCATTTGATCCCGTTGTAGACAGTCAAAACTAATTCCAGAAGACTCCGAAAATTACTGACAGACCTCCAGAAACAAGCGGAATTTAATTGACCTAGCAAACTTCGCTGGCCATTTGTATTTAATAACAGAACTGTTTATTTATTCACCGTCTAGATAGACGATGAAGAGAGGTGCGATTGTCTAATTGTGTGGGTTCTGAGAGTGAAAGATCTCTGTAACTCTGCGTAAAGTACTTAATTTTCTTCTCCCTACCTCATTAATCCTTTTTCTCCATTCCCAAGTATTAAATGGGAAAGGTCATTTGTAATGAAATTTTAAAGCATCAGATTTTTATAAAATGCATTGGATTATTCAAATGGAAGCTGTGGTGTAACAGAAATGAGCCTTTACCATAATGTGTGATTGTCTCTCTGTAAATGGTTTTAGGAGGGGTGTTACAATGCTTAACGAATGTCTTTTTGAATGGGAGAGTCTGTATGCGTGAAAAATATTAGGCATTAAAATTGCTGTTCATTTGAAAATATGCAATCCCCTTCGAAGCCACTGATGTCATGGATGGCAGCCATCTCTGTACTTACTGGTGGCAAATCTGAATAATAACATCATTTAAATTCTGCTGAAAATACAGAAAAATGGCATTAACATGTGGTAAACATTGATAGGGAAAGGAGCGATTTATTCTTAACCTTTCCGAGCTGCTTTGTTTGAACGTAAGCGCAGTTACGTTTATTTAAAAGCAGATGTTCATTTGGCAGCCTTTAAGGGCTCGCTTTGGAGCGGTTACCCACCGAGAGCATATATGACAAAGAAACAGTCCTTTCATAAATGTATTTTTTGGCAGGTTCTTTTAGTGTCCACACATATCCTAAGATTAATTCTTTATATGCGTGTGCTTTAATGGAAATAAGTGTGCTTGGAAAGAGGTTTTCTTGCCTCTTGCTGTGTGCTCTTAAGACAAAGGTAGATTTATTTATCTTTTTACCACTTTCCCCAAAGAAGTGGTCCTTTCGCCTGGCCTGCCTCGTATCCTTCCCACGCGCCTGGTGTCCCTGGATCCGTCTCCCCACGGAAGCGGGTGTGAGCGCGGCACAGGGCGCTATAATGGGGCATGAAAGTACGGAAGCGTTCCACAAACCTGGGTCTGCATGTGGCTGGCACTCTCTGCCTCCGTTTGGGAGACCCCACT